ATCTATAATTAGAAAGCAATAGGCTTTCTACTAATATGTGCAAAAAGTCAAATGTTTCTCCTTTTATCAACAAAACTGAATTTTTCATGAACTTTGAGAACTTCATCCAGAGGCTAATGAACTATTAGAAAGACTGCCATTGATTACAATGGAATTTGGAACAGGCCCTGATGTTTTATCATTCCCTATCCCTACACACTATTCCTTCCAGCAAAAGTGTCTTTGTTTCCAAGCAATGTTCTCCAATATTGTGTAATTTTGGTGCCATTCATACTCAGGTAATCACTTATGGCTTGATAGTTCAGACCAGCTGGGTGACCCCAGCTCTCACTGAAGTTGCGATGAAATTTTGAGAGGGTAAAAATCACCCATTTCACTTTTCTCTATCAAACTCCTTTTAAATTTCCCAGAAGCTTTGCTAACATTTCCAAGAAATCTAAACATGCTTTGTGTTGAATCTGGAGCTGTTTAGATCATCAGCTTGAAAACGTTGGGAATGGAGTGGATTTTTGCTGTTCTGCTTAGAAAAGTGGCAATTCTGACTGTGTTTAGCTTTAAGCCTTATGACTATAGAATCAGGTTCAAGATCACAGTTTTTTACATTCAGGGCTCTCAATGTCCACATACAAAATACGTACAACAAGGCCCAGCAGGTGGACCAAAGCCAACAACTCAGTTCCTCCAGTACAATGGGACTGTCCATTGCAAGGGCATAACTCATCACTGCAGAAGAGAGAGGAGGGACTATGGCATGCATCCCCATTACAACCAAGGACCTTCATAAGCCTTTTGAGCAGCTTCAATTCCAAGTACAAGTCACAGGTTTTATACCACAGCTTTTCTGATATCACTGCATAGCAGTATTTGATATATTAGAGCTACCAAAACATACCACCAATAACTTTTGCCTGGGGGTGGGGGTGAAAGAAAGAAAGAACAAACTATATCAGACAGTTGTTAGCTATGTGGCATAATGCAGTTCTCACACACTGCAGTGAGGAGCACAGCACAGAGGAGAAGAGAATAGTTTTTTGATGAGGATATAAAGACTAAGGGCCAGATCCTATTCCACCTATTAAGTGCCTAAGTGCAATCTGATTCCACGCTGCTCAAGTCCCTGAAAAACATTAACATGACTACTTTTGAAACGCACAGTGACCTTAGCCTTCAGACTAAAGAGGAAGAACAGGACCCATCCAGTTTTTGCTTTAACAGCTTGCCATGGACACAAGCAGCAGGAAATAAGATCTCACCTTGGTGCCTAAGTCCACTTCGGCATCAAATAGGTGGCACTGAATTTGACCCTAACTTCTCTGAGCCCAGAAATAGTCACACACTTCTTGTACTGGATATATTTATTTACTAGTGACACACCACGTGAGCCCCTATTTGTTCTGTGCTTTCTGTTCCACATGTATGTCTTCCATGTTGAACAAAGGTGTTGGGCATTGGATAGAAAACTACTGAGAGTATGATTTTTAACTGCTGTATTTCTGTTAATATATCCCCTGAGCGAGGAGAGGCTCATGGATTGCTCAGAACCTGTTACTCTGCTTAGAAGCTTTAGTATATTTTTGTCCTTCCTCACCTGCTGAACACTGATTTTGCAGTGAAGTCAGGATACACCATTATTGACCCTTATGCATTCACTGGGTATTTTGTGCACATACCCTAATGAGCAAAGAAGGGGGACAGGGTCCCTGGTACTAGTTCCTCCTCTCTGTCCTGAAGGTTGAATAGAATTTTCTCCCCAACATTTGCCCAGCAGCTCAGTGCTTTTCATCTGCCTCTGGAAATTTTACTTTTCCTGTACATCTCAGCACTGAAGTGGGACCGGTAGCACCTTCAACTGCATCTGTAACTCTACGACAAAAGCCTTTGGGGATTGTAATCTAGAGATCTCAGAGAACCAGAAAACGTGGATATCTACATGGACAGGAACTCAGATCCATGCAAAATATTCTTTGGATAAAACTCGTGTTACACAATAAACCATGCGGGTTAATCACAATCTTTTGCCTGATTATTTTTTTTAAATCTCAGGCATATGGTCTGCAGTTCAATTGCAGTTTAGCAACCCACTCAGACTGAAATTAGCAGTAACAGGTTGTAAAACAGTAAAAAGCTGTAAAATCAGCGATGAGAGGGGCTTTGGAGTGTCTGACTTCCTAAACCAGAAATATTCCCCTGACCAGGAGGAAGCTAGAAGCCGATAGGGATGAAAGCTTTTTTGACCTACAGGTGTAAAGAATCTTAGAATCCAGACCAAAATAATAATAGCATCAATCAGAAGCAAAGCTTTTCCTACTTATGCCACTGACACTTTTATAACAAACAAGATAAACTAGCCAATGTATTTAAGAATGGTCAACATAGTTAATATACTGTAACAAGCTTGTTTAAATCATGTTCTAAAAGGATTAGTGTAGTCTATTTTCTGGACTTCAATTGTTGGTCTACTATCTTGCATTTGTTCATTTTAAATATATATTTTTATACAGAAATATCTGTTTCAAGTCCAGTCTTGATCTGGCTTACTCCAGGTTCACATCAGCGGTAAAAGAAGTGAGCCTTTTGGAGTGTATGCTGATCAAAATAAAAGTAGATACTATATCTCTTCAATCCTTGGGAAGAAAAAAAATAATATTTTTTTTTAAATATTATAGGAAAGGTAAAGTATATAGGGTAGGCAAATGGGTGATTGGTGAACTAATCAACACAGTTATCTCTGAGATACGGTTTGTATGTATAAACATTGGGCTGGATCCTCCTATTTGTTGTATGTGCATGGGCTTGATAAAAATAATTGAACAGGGTAGAGAGCTCTGCCCACACAGTTAACTGCAGGACTGGAGACATTATTCTTTTGTATCCCACCATTCATCTCTCCAGACAATAACTTTACACGTTTCCTTTTTCTGAACAGCATAATATTGTATTTGAAATATATGTAAGCAAGCTTAGCTGACTTAACAGGGGGAAATCATTTTCATAGAACCATCTTCCAGTGAGCCAACAGGTTGTACAGTAGGGTGTTGTAAGACATCATGTATTGAGGCCAAAAGTCCCATTCACTTCACAGGACTTTGGATCAGGCACTTATTACAGGAAAAGCAGAGTAAGATCACACAAATACATTATTTAAAATTCAAAAAATTCTGCTTCAAACAGTGTAATTGAGTTGAACAACTACATGTTTATTATTATACCATATGCCAAGACATTCACATAACTAAAAACACGGGGGAAAATGTCATATACACACCCACACACCTATACAAATATAATTATAATTTTGCTCCACATTTCACAATAGACCTTTCTGGAAATCAATGTATTGCCTACTCTGTCTTAAAAGGTTTGTTATGTAAAAATGTTTTAAATAATACTTGATTTTATTTAGCATATTTAAAAAACATATGCCCAACCAGGGTTGTTGATACTGCCACACTCATTAGCCAATTAATCATATATATGATACATGTACTTATGCATATACCCCCTTATGTACACAAAACTTCAGTTGCTGTTAATTGTGACCATAGTTCATTCGTGTAAAAGCTATTTGTTGTCCTTTAATCCAGGCTTTCCAGTTGTTACAATCACTTGTCACGGCTGCCTTTTGTAAACTGGTGGTGTCCCTTTTTAACTTCCACATACACAGAGCAGTTCACAGGATCAGGCCCTCAAATTGTAAACTCTTTGTGGCAGTTAGCTCATTAGTTCCTCTCTATATACTCAGTACAGCACCGCACACAATAAGGCTCTTATTTACTAGGGGCCTCTAGCCACTATTGCAATGCAAGTTATAACTAAACAATATAATGACAAAGCATTAGAGACTGCTGGAGTTAATTTGCTCAGAGGAAGCAGAAACCTGGTCTATCTAGGTTAGATGCTTCCTGCATAACATTATATGCATATATATTATATATATGTATGTAACACATATACTGGGGTGTGTTGTATATAATACACATACACATGTATACATATGCACATACATATGTACACACTCGAAAATATATACACATGCTCGTAAATATATACACACTCACTTGTATAGATTTAGGTCAGGAATGGTTCCTGTATCTACTTCTGAAAACTGCAGTGCAAGTAATTCTAGTTCAGATGGCCATCATTGATTTTTTTTTTTTTTTTTGCTAGCCGCAATCTAGTTATACTCATTGTTTTATTTTACTTTATTATACTTTATTTTATTTTATTTCTTGGTCTGAAATATCCCCACTTACACTCGCGCCAGCCTGAGCCCTGCTCTGTTCTCAGTTATACTACCCCAGAACAGAAAAAATGTCTTTGAGGTCAAGACAGTTACACCCTCCAGGAGACCAGGATCAACCCCAAGAAGTAGAGCAGCGAGTAACAGCCATCGGCTGCAGGCTGCGGCTGACTTGCCCAGCTCTCGGCACAGTTTGGTTCAGAAGGGGTAACATTGCCCCTATTGCCACCTCTCAGCAACAGAGAGAAGAGCCTCACTGATACTTCTGGGCTTGTGTGAAAAATTCTCAGAGAAAATTCTTTCTCTCTCTCTCTCCTGGCCCCTAAACTCTTTGTGAATGGGGCCAGTGCAACATGTGGCCTTTCACCCCGCCCAAGAACCACTGCCAGACAGCCACACTCAGAGAATTGTTTGTTAATAGTCCAATTAGATAATTGCCATCTTTCACTCCTTTTGCTCTACGTTTCCCATAAAGGAATGAATAAGGAGAGCAGCATGAAGAGGGGTTCTGCCCTGCAAGGTGACAAGAAGGGCTGGAGCATGCTCTTTGCACAAGGCCATTTGCTTGAATTGAATCATTGTAGCCTAATCAATGGTCTTATTGGATTACTGGCTGTTGCGGTTCTCAAAGATATTGTAGCAGAGACAATGAAATAGCTAGGGGAAAACTTTTCTCCTCCCCCCCCCCTTAGTGGATCACGCAGTTGAGATTTTTCACGGGCTATCTCTCACTCTCTCTCTCACTCTCTCTCCCTCTCCCCTCCTGGATCTATCTGAACACAAAGCTGCTCCCTCTCTCTCTCTCTCTCTCTCTTTTTTTCAATGAGCAGCTCTGCGAATGGATTCAGTGTTTGTGAAGGTGCAGAATTAGCGCACACACGCACACACACTCACACAAAGCGAGGATCTGGACTGAATTAAGGAGAGGCAGGAGTGTAAGATGGCTGTCTGTGGGGAGACGTGTTAAGGAGGATTTCTGCTGCCTGCCTTGGACAGATCGGCTGCGGGGAAACTTTTCTTCCTGGGGGTGTCGTTCCGAGTCAAGGCTGCTCCTGCTCCAGCGCCGCGTTGCTCCTAACAGCTTGATTCACATCTCTCTGGCGTGCTGGGGATAAAGCCACTATATAATCTGGAGGGTTAAAGGCGTGCAGAAGAAAGTTAATAATGGCTGCTAATGGTGCTAACAATTCAGGGTGAATCTTGTCAAAAGTTTTTTTTTTTTTTTCGTTTTTTTTTCTGGAAGTCTGTCTTTTGATTGTGTGTTTCCTGAAAGCAAGACCAATCATTTCAGTTTATTCACTGGCTAAACTCTACTTGATTGGGGACAAGCACACAAACCATCCATTACGATCTGATATATTATCCAAACAATTTAGTGTATTCATGAGGTAACCTAAATGTGGAGGCTGCAAAATTACCCGTAATCAATGGAACCAGCGAGTGCGCGTCCCTCTGTGTGTCTAACCACCGCATGTCTCGGTAATAAGGCAGGCATTAAATCATTTTAGAGTTGCACTGGCGAGTACCTGATCACTGGGGCTCGGGGACGCTGGACAGTCACTCCAGGACGCCGGGATCGAGGAAGCTCCTGCCTTGGCGGTGGGATCCGACCCGACCATCCTCCCCAAAGGTGCTCGCAGCTCCCCGGCGACCTGCCCCTGCGCCGTGCCATATTCCGCCTGCACCTCGTCGCCGCCTCCTCTCTTTTTACCCCGCTCCTTTTTTTTTTCGTTTTCTTCTCTTTTCTTCTTCTTTTTTTTTTTTTTTTAATTAATTATTTTGATTGCACTACATGTTTGGGAAACAAGACAAAATGGACGTTAGGTGCAGTTCAGAGCCTGAAGCGAACCGGGTCTCGAAGAACGGACACAAGGAGGGCAAGGACAGCAAAGGGTCTGAAGGAAATATTTCCACTTCTTTTTTGAAGGAGCAGCAAGGGACTTTTTCTGCCTCTGCAGCCTCGGAAGATTGTAATAAAAGTAAATCTAGTCCGGCCGATCCGGACTATTGCAGGAGGATCCTAGTTAGAGGTAGGAGTTTGGGGCGGTCGCGCGTGTGAGCCGTGTGCCCGTGGCAGAGGCAGGGGCTTGTTTTGTTTGTTTAATCTGGGGGGGTTCACGATTTTTTTTTTTAAATCCTGGGTTCGGGGGTTTTTTGGTCTCCCCCTTCCCCCCGAGACGCGCAACGCCGCTGCCTGCTCCGAGACCTGGGGGTCGTTTCCCTTCTTCTGCTTTCACTTCCGCGGCGCCTCGGAAAGTTGCCCCGCGGCGCGCTCGCCCCGCGGCTTTTCTTTGTGGCAGCGGCGGCTGGCTGGGCGCTGCCGGCCGGCGCTCCCCGGGGCAGCAGGCCCTGCCCGGCAGGTGTGCAGATGCCCCGGGCAGGGCTCC